CTCATTAATTGATACTATAGCACTTTCACTAATAATTGGAGAATTCGATATTTCATCATGAGCGTCAGAAGTTTTTCTACTAGATATATTTGTTGGTTCTACAGAATCCTCATTGAACTCATGAATCGAGCTTTTTCTACTTTCAATTTTCGATATTTCTTCATGAGAGTCAGATGATTTTTTAAGAAGCGTATTTGTGTTAATTAAAACATTATCTTTAATTGGAGAATAATCTTTTGCCTCTTGAATTGAATCATTAGTACTTTCACTTATAATTGATTTATTTGGTATTTCATCAAGGGCGTCAGAAGTTTTTCTACTAGATATATTTGTTGTTTCCACAGAATCATCATTGAACTCACGAATGGAGCTTTTTCTACTTTCAATTTTCAGTATTTCTTCATGACCGTCAGATGATTTTACAGATGACGTATTTGTGTTATCTAAAACATTATCTTTAATTGGAGAATGATCTTTAACCTCATGAATTGAATCATTAGTACTTTCACTTATTATTGATTTATTTGGTATTTCATCAAGGGCGTCAGAAGTTTTTCTACTAGATATATTTGTTGGTTCTACAGAATCCTCATTGAACTCATGAATCGAGCTTTTTCTACTTTCAATTTTCGATATTTCTTCATGAGAGTCAGATGATTTTTTAAGAAGCGTATTTGTGTTAATTAAAACATTATCTTTAATTGGAGAATAATCTTTTGCCTCTTGAATTGAATCATTAGTACTTTCACTTATAATTGATTTATTTGGTATTTCATCAAGGGCGTCAGAAGTTTTTCTACTAGATATATTTGTTGTTTCCACAGAATCATCATTGAACTCACGAATGGAGCTTTTTCTACTTTCAATTTTCAGTATTTCTTCAATACCGTCAGCTGATTTTACAGATGACGTATATGTGTTATCTAAGACATTATCTTTAATTGGAGAATGATCTTTTACCTCATGAATTGATACTTTAGTACTTTCACATATTATTGATTTATTTGGTATTTCATCAAGGGCATCAGAAGTTTTTCTACTAGATATATTTGTTGGTTCTACAGAATCATCATTGAACTCACAAGTCGAGCTTTTTCTACTTTCAATTTTCAGTATTTCTTCATGACCGTCAGATGATTTTACAGATGACGTATTTGTGTTATCTAAAACATTATCTTTAA